TTTTTTTCATAGCCTAATTATTATAGTATATTTACCTAAAGCAATATGCATCGTATGGTTGTTACATGTCAGGTACGCCAGTCATTGACCTTTACCAAGGCAATAGAACTGCCGTTAGTCCCTGGACTGGCATGGCTATCACTGCCCCTACATAGTTAGGGAGAATGCAGAGGAAAAATCTCCCACTGGGATCAGCTTCATAGTCATGGTAGGCCACTTCTTTGATTTTATTTATTTTGCTCAGGCTACTCCTAAGCCCACAGCCTGCCAAATGTTGAAAGGGCAATATCATTGACATTACTGTTAATATATAGTACACATTTTACACATTCAGTAATAAAATTTTACACATTAATTTAAGAAGGGGGATGATTTTTAAGATTTTTTTTATAAAGGGGGATGCCACCCCCCCTCGACTCGAGTACTGTGTTTAGCTGGCATTACCAATGTATTCCACAGATCGATTTAGCTAGACAGCGAACAAAGCCCGTGACATCATGGCAACATGGCAACGCCCTTGCCAAAAAATTTTATGCAATGCCTCTTTTTTTTCTTTTATGCATTCATCATTTTCACGTTTATAATATAACTACTGATAATAGTAAGACACAATTTCATATATTAAGTTCAGTTGACCGTTTCGTTTACACTTGCACTTTAAATATAAGGCTGAGGATTCTGATTTCCTGTTCAGTGACATTTACTATCATAATTTATACCAGCTTTAGACAAATACAAATAAAATGAGTAATTCCTTAACTGTGTTTGCCTGTTTGTGTAGCACCCTTAATTTAACTTTTATATTGTATTTGTATTCTAACACTATAAATTGCTTTAGGTTTATCACTGACTGCTGCTATTGTTTGTAGTAAGTGACAAGGCCAATGTCAATTGTGGAACAGGATAATGTAAGTCAGCAATATCTAACTCGTAGGAGTTAGATAATGGGATAAGGAGGGACATAGAAAAAGGGAAGAGAATGAAATGAAAAAGCATGAGAAGAGGAATGAGGAGAAAGAGACAAATAAGTAAAAAATTGAGAATAAAAAAGAAGTTTAAGGCCAAGGTAAAGTGTGCAAAAATGTATTTTCGTTACCGGTACCTAAAAAGAAGATTTTTTTTTCTGTAAATATTTGCTTCGATTTTTATGGAAAAGCTGCTATTTTAGTAAGGTTTTATAAACTTCTTTTCTAGTTTTATCATAAAATAGATACAAACACATCAGTGGGCACGTGCTTATATCAAAATAAGGGGAAACTAAAGCCCAACTTATTCATAAAATACATTTGGAAAATGAGATAGCACAACGTGCTCTGGCAAATCCATCCCTACTGAAGCAGTCATAATGCACATGTGGCAGAGCCTTCCAATAGACATTAAGTTATTTGGACATGATAACGCGGACTTGAAAGTTTTTGGATCCTTACACTCCTAAATCAGTTTACAAATGTTCAATTCAAATCGGTTGCAATACTTTTTTTTTTACAGGGAAAAAAAAACGTTTCCTTTTTCAAAGAAGCTGTGAGAACTACATTTTTTATATTTATGTAAATATATATATATATATATATATATATATATATATATAAAGATATTGTACTGTATGCATATGGTCTAAGATAAAATGTCATGTGCGGCTTACTTGAGCTAAAGATAAAGGAATTAATATTAGCTTATTGGTCTGAAGTCATCTTTTCAGAGGAAGGTAAATATTAATTTCATTTAGAGATTTAGAGATGAAGAGCCAAGACTCCAGGGAAGAGTGGAGTGAGGGTTCCAATGCTCTACCTTGTTTTTTTCCTGTTTAGTGTTAACAGCATCAATGTTGGACACCTTCCAGCTTCCCTGTGCTGACAACTCTTTATAGGTAAAATGTTTTCATTTTCAAGAATCAAGACCCTTTATAATAATTATGAAAGCCTAATGAAAATGTTATCGTCAAACAGGACTTGGCACTGCCTACACCGGGGGTTTCCAAACAGCACCCTGTGGACAAAGTTTAGCTCTTGAACTGATTTTCATGACTTAAATTCAAGAATGATTTAAATTTGGCCCTACATTACAATTATATAATCAAGCTGAGATTTTTAATATTCAAATAATGACAAGACACTACTTTAATGAGAGCTAGCTGTCACTAAGAAAAACTTAGCTTAGACAATTCATTTATTTTCTGTTGACAAAAAGTCAAGCGTGTTAAATCTTTGAAAAAATGTACAGAAAAAGGAAAGGGAGATTATTTTAAGTGCTTTCCTGGCCTACAGGTTTGTTGCACTGGATAGTAAATCAAACTGAGGAAAGGAAATAAATCTAAATGTAGCCTGCGAACACACACACAGAAAAGCACACTTTATCCAAGTTGAGGAAATAATCGTAAAATCGGTTTTATTGAGATGGATTTTTGCTGCTATGATTGAAAAAATAATATTACTTTTGGTGAGCAATGAAATTTGCTCACGATGTAAAATGAGTAGAACAATGAGACTCAGAGCGACTGACTGATTGACTGTGTTAATTCTTAATGAAAATTTCACAATGAGCTTTACATGAGTATAAAAACAAAACATACATCCAAAATGTCTCTGTAGAAATAATTGAGAATGACTTTTTTTTATTTTTTATGTCTGATTCTTTTTGTTATCAAACAAAGCCGTTTCAAAAGAATCATGCAATTGTCTTCTTGGGTTTTGTCATATGAAAAGTGTGGGAGCATCTCTATATTCCTAGAGCACCCAAAGCAGGCTCTTACATCAGTGACATGAAAAGGAAACGAGAAAAGGAAGTCAGATAATACAGGAGCCTTAAAGATGCCGCTTCAATTATCCAGAGAATGGATCTGTGGGTGAGCATGCCTCGTATTCCTCTAAATCCAGGAACAGCCACCCACAGGCATCAATCATCTGCATAGCTATAGGCTATACTAGGAGAATGGGAATAACACAACTGTCGGGTCTCCATCATACAGATCAGAGACCCAAAATAAAAATAAATGGTGTCTTTTTTTTTCCAGTTTTCAGGATCAGCCCTGAGTCTTTATTTTTTTGGTCAACACACCTGATGTTTGTTGCTGTTCAGCCAAACGCTGCTGCTCTGTATCAGAGGCAGCACTCTCTGGTTTGCACAACCAAGCTACTGAAATGTATGAGGGATGACCTGCATGAACTCTGGCAACAGTGAATCTACACAGCAGACTCCCTGGGCCATGATGAGAGAGGCATACAGCTCTAGGCCTACCCTTAGGTCAAAGCCCACCTCAAGATCCAATCTGAGGCCTGTTGTAAGCTACATACACTTGTTTCTTTCCTTGATCCTAAATGCAGGCCTTGGGCAAGGGCTTGCAGTTTATTACCACCTCTACCTTCCTTATGAAAACAGTAGAAGTTCAGTAGGTGTGAAAGGCCAGCACCTGTGTGAAAATAGCTTTACAACAATGCAAATGCAGCTACTGTAGAAGGCTTTGTCAAATTTAAACAAAGTATGAAACATTTATGAAGCCAAATGGCTCCACCGTGTATTTAAAAATTCATGCAGAGTTTTCTACTTTTCTCCGTGTTTTTCTTTTCTTATTTTCTATTCATGTATAGCAATTTGAATTATCTCGTTACTAAAATGTGCTACAAATACACTTAAATTGCCTTGCTTTACTGTTTAGATGGTTTACTAAAACTAAATCTGATGAGACCAAAGTAAAAGAAATTGTCTTAAATTTTTATGAATTATTAAACTTTTATCTGACCAGCTTTAAAGCTGGCATACAGTTGATGTTTGGATGCAACACCATCCTGAAAAGAAATATCAGATGTGCTGCTGCCAGTTTGTTTCTTTAAGATGTTTATGCTCTTATTCTACACTAGAACATTAAATATACTATGTATGTATGCATGTATGTATGGATGTTTCTTTCTATCTATCTATCTATCTATCTATCTATCTATCTATCTATCTATCTATCTATCTATCTATCTATCTATCTATCTATCTA